TTAAAAATCAAATTAGATTTATTAAAAACAAAAAGAGGAAGTAATTAAAAAGCTCCCCGACAATTCTAAATTTCCAGCTAGAAATCACGAAAACGAAGCAGTTTGACAATTTTTTTTTTTTTTTGATAAAAACGATAGAAATCCATATAATTAAAATACTAGTTAAAGATTCCATCAGAACTAAAAATTTAGTGCATAATTACCAGGGCTCCTCGGCGACGACGTCAGGGTGGCTAAAGATCTTAGCCGCATTAAACCTCTTATTAGTAGGGATGGGCTCACCAGCTGGAGTGTATGCGTCACACATAACCTGTTATTCATAGAAATACAAAATTAGCTTGTTGACATTTAAAAAAACAAAATTCATTAGTATGATTTGTTATCATTAAAAATAGGATGGTGCTAAATGGGATAATTTTTTTGTTTTATTTTTTATATAATTTTTATATGTTAGGAATAAATCTATTTAATATTATAAAAAATATATATATTATAATAACATATCAGATTATAAAAATATAAATATATTATCCAAATACCATTTCATTTAAAAATATTTCTTTTTTGATTTTATTTCTTCTTTTTTTTTCAAAAAATCACGGGATACAACGGAAAAGGTAAAGCCGCTGGGGCATTAATTACCAAGATGTTGTTTCCCCTTCTGAAAGGATCCTTGAAGATCGCCTGCGGACTGATCCAGTTAAAAAAAAAAAACAAAGAAATTGAAAGAATCTTCAGATACAAGAAATTCTGATTCAATTAGAATAAAACACAAAAAAAAAATAGAGAATCCGACATCAAGGAAAGGTCGTGTGAGAGAAATACTCACTATAAAATGACTTCACTGTCCTCACCGGGGGCTTGGCCGGTACTGGAGCCATCGTAGTTCCATTTCGGCAGATTCGCAGGATCGGTAACCAGTCCCGGCAAGGTCTGCCAAAACAGAGAAATAATTACTCTCCGGAACGGAAAATCGAAACTCCGAGAAACCAGATCGCGGATTTTAAAAGAGAGGAATGAATATACGGAATACGTACCTTTGCTTTGCTTCTCAAGTCCATGCCCGATCCACCGATCCTGTAACAGAAATCAACACGAAATTATGACTAAAAAAGGAAGAGCAGAAGAGAGGGATAAGGAGGAGTACATACCATATGTATTCGGCGATGATTTTGTCCGTGGAATCAGAGAGATTGAGGTTGACGAGATCAGTGAGAGTAGACATGGTGATTGGGCTTACTTTTGGAGAAACAGAGAGAAGGGAGGAAAGAGAGGTGTGAGGGGTAGCGTTTGGCTGTGGGTGTTTAAATAGGAAGAGTTCTGAGAAAAATATACTCAGGAGGAAAAATAAAGGCGAAAGCGCTATTTGCACCCTCCATTTATTTCTTTTTTGTGTTTAACACCTTTCAAAATTTTTCCTCCCTATTAGCACCCTCAATTTTTTCAAACCTTTGAAAAACCTAATATTTTAACGAACCGTCACGTAACCGTTAACAACCGTTAAAAAATGTAATACGTGGCACCTGAAAATTGACTTGGACATTATTTGACGTTATCTATCCAACATGAACTTTTTTTAATGACGTGGCATAATTTTTTATGCACTTGGATGCCCACATGTGCAGTAGGAACACTGTTAATAGGATTTTTCCTGCTTGTCTCGCATCCCAACCAAAAAAAAAAAATCCTAAAACAAGGAACTTCATCCCCAATCTCAAAAACCCAGTTTCCAGATTTAGGATTTCTCGAATCCTTAACAAATGTACAATGGAATTGGATTTGTCGACCTCACCAAGAAACCCAACAGGGACATCCTTGAGCATGATCGTAAGCGTCATATCAAGCTCACGGAGTAAGGCTACATCGATGCTGAGAATGCTAAAAAGCTTCTTGAGGCCAGGAAAGTGTTGGAAGCTCCTACCGCTTCCAATGAGATCACTGTGCTATAATGGAGATGGAGCCATTAGCAGAGGCGAATAAGAGGTTTTGAGGAAAGGAGCCATCGCAATCGTGTATCAGGCAAGCTTGAGGAGAAACAGACCCAGATCCAGGTTATAGTGAGGATTCGTCACCTTGAAACTTGTTTGGGGTCTTCTTGGATCGTGAAATGGATGGTGAGGGGATCGTGAAACTTGCTAGCTCGTTTTCTTGCTCATAACTGATCTCATCTTCTTCCTTTGCCACCATCTTTTTCGTGCCATGAATACTATTGCTTCTCCTTAGTGAATTGGCCAAACGCTTACGCTTTTGGTTCTTGATCGTCCGTAGCACTACCTTAGTCCATGTTCTTCTTGACCCAATCACACACGCCATGGTTTTATCAGCTACAATCCTAATTCTTTTGTACCAGAGAAAGATTTCTCTAGAAGAAGAAGAACTAGGTTTTTGAGATTGGGGAAGAAGAACAATGGTCCTCGTTATGCCACATTTTTACAAAAAAAAAAAAAAATTATGCCACATCATCTAAAAAACGTCCACATTGGATTAATAACGCCAGATAATGTCAACATGGCATCCACTGTTGCAGATCTATTTTAAATGCTCTTTGTTTTAGTTTTTTTTTTTTTTCTTTTTTTTTTTTGGTGGGGATACAGGGTAAAGCGAGAAAAGTCCCTCTAGGAGTGGGACCCACTGCACATGTAACGTCTATGTGTGCAAAAAATTATGCCATATCATCAAAAAGAGTGCCACGTAATACACTTGTGCAGACAATTATGTCAAATTGGATAGATAACGTCAAATAATGTCCAAGTCAATTTTCAATGCCACGTGTTACATTTTTAACGGTTGTTAACGGTTACGTGACGGTCTGTTAAAATATTAGGTTTTTCACGGGTTTGAAAAAATAGAGGGTGCTAATAGGGAGGAAAAATTTTGGAAGGTGTTGACC